TATTAAAGAACAAAAAGATCAAAGCAGTGATGTTAAAACACTAACAATTATGAGCTTATAAACTAAGATAGTTAAACCACTACCAATTATGAACTTATGAACTAAGATAGTTAATTTAAATCTAAAAAAATAATGGAGCTACTGAAAATTAAAATAAAACACTTTAGCACCTTGATTATTTCAAAGTTAAAAGTAATGGTTTCAAGTATAAAATAAGACAGAGAATAAAACACTTAAGTACCTGGATTAGCACCTTGAATAGCGCCTTAGGTGTCTTAAGTAGCTGGGAATTAATTACTGTTATTCACTAACAGTCATGAAAATATGGATTAGAATAAGGGTAAATTCTACTAAACTACAGCACTGAACATGGTTGATAATGTGTTGAGATATGGCTTAAATAGGTAGTAGGTTGGTAGACAGCAACCACCCAGGGAAGTACTACCGTCCTGCCAGATGACTGTGAAACAGAAACCTGTAACTGTTTTGCATGATGGTAGGATTGCTGGTTTCTTTTTCTGTCTCATAAACACGCTAGATAACAGGGATATCTTGCTACTCCTACTTACACTTTGGTCACACTTCACAGACACGCACATGCATATATATATATATATATACATACATCTAGGTTTTTCTCCTTTTTCTAAATAGCTCTTGTTCTTCTTTATTTCTTCTATTGTCCATGGGGAAGTGGAAAAGAATCTTTCCTCCGTAAGCCATGCGTGTCATATGAGGCGACTAAAATGCCGGGAGCAATGGGCTAGTAACTCCTTCTCCTGTAGACATTTACTAAAAAAGAGAAGAAGAAAAACTTTATAAAACTGGGATGCTTGAATGTGCGTGGATGTAGTGCGGATGACAAGAAACAGATGATTGCTGATGTTATGAATGAAAAGAAGTTGGATGTCCTGGCCCTAAGCGAAACAAAGCTGAAGGGGGTAGGGAAGTTTCGGTGGGGGTAAATAAATGGGATTAAATCTGGAGTATCTGAGAGTGTTAGAGCAAAGGAAGGGGTAGCAGTAATGTTGAAAGATCAGTTATGGAAGGAGAAAAGAGAACATGAATGTGTAAATTCAAGAATTATGTGGATTAAAGTAAAGGTTGAATGTGAAAAGTGGGTCATAATAAGTGTGTATGCACCTGGAGAAGAAAGGAATGTAGAGGAGAGAGAGAGATTTTGGGAGATGTTAAGTGAATGTATAGGAGCCTTTGAACCAAATGAGAGAGTAATTGTGGTAGGGGACCTGAATGCTAAAGTAGGAGAAACTTTTAGAGAGGGTGTGGTAGGTAAGTTTGGGGTGCCAGGTGTAAATGAAAATGGGAGCCCTTTGATTGAACTTTGTATAGAAAGGGGTTTAGTTAAAGGTAATACATATTTTAAGAAAAAGAGGATAAATAAGTATACAAGATATGATGTAGGGCGAAATGACAGTAGTTTGTTGGATTATGTATTGGTGGATGGAAGACTGTTGAGTAGACTTCAGGATGTACATGTTTATAGAGGGGCCACAGATATATCAGATCACTTTTTAGTTGTAGCTACACTGAGAGTAAAAGGTAGATGGGATACAAGGAGAATAGAAGCATCAGGGAAGAGAGAGGTGAAGGTTTATAAACTAAAAGAGGAGGCAGTTAGGGTAAGATGTAAACAGCTATTGGAGGATAGATGGGCTAATGAGAGCATAGGCAATGGGGTCGAAGAGGTATGGGGTAGGTTTAAAAATGTAGTGTTGGAGTGTTCAGTAGAAGTTTGTGGTTGCAGGAAGGTGGGTGCGGGAGGGAAGATGAGCGATTGGTGGAATGATGATGTAAAGAGAGTAGTAAGGGAGAAAAAGTTAGCATATGAGAAGTTTTTACAAAGTAGAAGTGATGCAAGGAGGAGAGAGTATATGGATAAAAAGAGAGGTTAAGAGAGTGGTGAAGCAATGTAAAAAGAGAGCAAATGAGAGAGTGGGTGAGATGTTATCAACAAATTTTGTTGAAAATAAGAAAAAGTTTTGGAGTGAGATTAACAAGTTGAGGAAGCCTGGAGAACAAATGGATTTGTCAGTTAAAAATAGGAGAGGAGAGTTATTAAATGGAGAGTTAGAGGTATTGGGAAGATGGAGGGAATATTTTGAGGAATTGTTAAATGTTGATGAAGATAGGGAAGCTGTGATTTCATGTATAGGGCAAGGAGGAATAACATCTTGTAGGAGTGAGGAAGAGTCAGTTGTGAGTGTGGGGAAGTTCGTGAGGTAGTAGGTAAAATGAAAGGGGGTAAGGCAGCTGGGATTGATGGGATAAAGATAGAAATGTTAAAAGCAGGTGGGGATATAGTTTTGGAGTGGTTGGTGCAATTATTTAATAAATGTATGGAAGAGGGTAAGGTACCTAGGGATTGGCAGAGAGCATGCATAGTTCCTTTGTATAAAGCCAAAGGAGACAAAAGAGAGTGCAAAAATTATAGGGGGATAAGTTTGTTGAGTATACCTGGTAAAGTGTATGGTAGAGCTATTATTGAAAGAATTAAGAGTAAGACGGAGAATAGGACAGCAGATGAACAAGGAGGCTTTAGGAAAGGTAGGGGGTGTGTGGACCAGGTGTTTACAGTGAAACACATAAGTGAACAGTATTTAGATAAGGCTAAAGAGGTCTTTGTGGCATTTATGGATTTGGAAAAGGCATTTTTACAGGTGGATAGGGGAGCAATGTGGCAGATGTTGCAGGTGTATGGTGTAGGAGGTAGGTTACTGAAAGCAGTGAAGTTTTTTTACGAGGATAGTGAGGCTCAAGTTAGAGTATGTAGGAAAGAGGGAAATTATTTCCCAGTAAAAGAAGGCCTTAGACAAGGATGTGTGATGTCACCGTGGTTGTTTAATATATTTATATATGGGGTTGTAAGAGAAGTAAATGCGAGGGTCTTGGCAAGAGGCGTGGAGTTAAAAGATAAAGAATCACACATAAAGTGGGAGTTGCCACAGTTGCTCTTTGCTGATGACACTGTGCTCTTGGGAGATTCTGAAGAGAAGTTGCAGAGATTGGTGGATGAATTTGGTAGGGTATTCAAAAAAAGAAAAAAATTAAAAGTGAATACAGGAAAGAGTAAGGTTATGAGGATAACAAAAAGATTAGGTGATGAAAGATTGGATATCAGATTGGAGGGAGAGAGTATGGAGGAGGTGAATGTATTCAGATATTTGGGAGTGGACGTGTCAGCGGATGGGTCTATGAAAGATGAGGTGACTCATAGAACTGATGAGGGGAAAAGGGTGAGTGGTGCACTTAGGAGTCTGTGGAGACAAAGAACTTTGTCCTTGGAGGCAAAGAGGGGAATGTATGAGAATATAGTTTTACCAACGCTCTTATATGGGTGTGAAGCATGGGTGATGAATGTTGCAGCGAGAAGGCTGGAGGTAGTGGAGATGTCATGTCTGAGGGCAATGTGTGGTGTGAATATAATGCAGAGAATTCATAGTTTGGAAGTTAGGAGGAGGTGCGGGATTACCAAAACTGTTGTCCAGAGGGCTGAGGAAGGGTTGTTGAGGTGGTTCAGACATGTAGAGAGAATGGAGCTAAACAGAATGACTTCAAGAGTGTATCAGTCTGTAGTGGAAGGAAGGCGGGGTAGGGGTCGGCCTAGGAAAGGTTGGAGGGAGGGAGTAAAGGAGGTTTTGTGTGCGAGGGGCTTGGACTTCCAGCAGGCATGCGTGAGCGTGTTTGATAGGATTGAATGGAGACAAATGGTTTTTAATACTTGACGTGCTGTTGGAGTGTGAGCAAAGTAACATTTATGAAGGGGTTCAGGGAAACCGGCAGGCCGGACTTGAGTCATGGAGATGGGAAGTACAGTGCCTGCACTCTTAAGGAGGGGTGTTAATGTTGCAGTTTAAAAACTGTAGTGTAAAGCACCCTTCTGGCAAGACAGTGATGGAGTGAATGATGGTGAAAGTTTTTCTTTTTCGGGCCACCCTGCCTTGGTGGGAATCGGCCAGTGTGATAATACAAAATAAAAATAATATATGGCTTAACAAGATTCAGTCAAACCAGTGAATGAGAGGATGTGGAGAGACTGTTGTTGGTGTGGCTTAACGAGAAACAATTACCAAGAAACAATTAACCCCAGAGGGTTAGCCACCCAGGATAACCCAAGAAAGTCAGTGAGTCATCGAGGACTGTCTAACTTATTTCCATTGGGGTCCTTAATCTTGTCTCCCAGGATGCGTCCCGCACCAGTCGACTAACACCCAGGTGAACAGGAAAAAAATGCCTGGAACTAGTGCTCATATTGGTGAATTTAAGGCCAGCAAAAGTTGGTTTGAGAGATTTAAGAATCGTAGTGGCATACACAGTGTGATAAGGCATGGCGAAGCTGAAAAATTCCAACCCCAACAAGTGTTCAATTGTGACGAAACAGGCTGTTCTGGAAGACAATGCCAAACAGGACCTACATTACTCAGAAGGAAAAGGCACTCCCCAGGACACAAGCCTATGAAAGACAGGCTAACTTTCTTGTTTTGTTGTAATGCTAGTGAGGATTGCAAAGTGAAGCCTTTACTCATGTATCACTCTGAAAATCCCAGAGTGTTCAAGAAAAAGTGTCTCATCACTCATCAGTACTCTTCAATAAAGGTAAGTGTCATTTTAACATTTATTTATATAGTTATTGTGTATGTCTCATTGTTTTCCTTGTAGGGAAATGTATATTTCATGAAAAAAAAAAAATTTTTAATACTTTTGGCTGTCTGGAACGGGTTAATTGGATTTCCATTATTTTTTATGGGGAAAATTAATTCGGCTAACGATAATTTCGTCTAACGATGAGCTCTCAGGAACGGATTAATATCGTTAGCCAAGGGTCCACAGTATGTACATTACAGTACAATGTACTGGAAAATGATAAATATATATAAAATTCAATAATACACAGTATACCGCTCTTTATCACATGCAAAAATTTCTGAATCTTCCATCATTACAAATCAGAAACAAATAAGCAACTTTTATGATAAGCTTACCCAGCACTAAAAGTAATCGACGAGCTGCGAAGTCTTTTTCCATACATGGAAAGGTGTCGTGAGCAATATCCCTGCCTCTGGCTCTCTTTACTGCACCCTTCCTTACCACACAGCCGACGCCACTGCTTCCCATTGAACTTTTTCCTAATACCATTAGGGGTAGTCACAACCTCACCTTTCTTGTACTTGAGTGGAGTGGCAGTTCCAGATCTGTATAAAACAACAGGACAGAGTCAGGTCAAAAGTACAAAATAAGAACTTATCCAACACAAGACGACTATCTCTTCCTTTTCTATTTCTATGGTTATATCCAACATTTAGAAGCATACAGGCAGAAAGACACTTGAGCATACATAACATGCAAAATAACTACTGTAAATAACTACTTTTTTTCAGTGATTATTTTGCATATTGTGATATCACCTGTTTACTGTGGTCTTATTGCATACATAATATATATTTAGGAGGATCCCAACTTACAAACTGCATTCCTAGTGTTTAATGTACCTGTATAAAAACAACAGTACAAGTAGGGCCCCGCTTTACAGTGTTTCGCTTTACAGCTTTCCACTAATATGTACATTTCAAATGATGACCAAAACTCACTATATGGCTCCCCCAACCTGACTTTCTAATATGGTCACCGTGTCCCACCCGATTTGTTTACAGTCTCCGTGAGCTCCGTGATCACCGCGTCTCTCCATTATGTCTGGAAATTTTCCAAAATTTCAAGTGTTTTTAAAAGTTATTTCATATTTTATATATACTCTGATAATTATACTTATGTATACCTGTACCTAAACAAACTGTGCTGGCATGCAGGTATACATTAACCCCTTGACTGTCGCAACCCCCAATCCTGAGGTTTCTCCTGGTGTCGCAAAATTAAAAAAAAAAAATTATTTTTTCTTATGAAATGATAGAGAATCTTTTCCCAATTGTAATGACAGCAAAAAAATGAAATTTGAAGGAAAACTGACGGAATTATGCTCTCGCGAAGTTAGCGACCGCGGCGATATTTACAAATTGGCGATTTCGCCCAATTTGAGCCTTATTTTCGGCTAATTCCATTGTTCCAGTCGACCAAACTTGTAGCTATTTCTTTAGAACTCCATTTTTTCTATCGATTGAGGACAAGAAACTGCCCATTTACCGAATTCAACTACCTAATAATGTCGTCAGAAATTTGCAATTTGGCCAATTTCACAAAAATTAAAAAATATGACAATTTCAAAATAAGGTCCAGAATGAATAATGCAGACATTCCTGGCTCTAAAATAACATTTTCTTTGTTCATCAGTCATGTCTCCAGGCCCTCTGATATTACTCTTGCTTTCTATTTTGAATTTTTATTCAAACAAAAAACAGAAGACTTACTATTATGCAGACTACTGCAATACTGTAATAATTGTATAAATAACATCAACCCATTCATGACTGCATATTAGAATGGCTAGTTGGACATTTATTGGACAATGACATCATTTGTTTACTTTTGAACATCGGCAAAAATCAAACATTTCCCCTACTTTGAGCTCCATTTCCAGGTTCTTTTTATAGTAAAATCAATCAAAATCACCTCTGTTTCTATAATATGTTTTCCATTCTATCAAATGAGACCAAGAAAACGAGAATACAACCATAAATACTATATGAAAATAGACCACAACGTCGGCATTTTAATTAAAAAAAAAAACGGTCGGAGTTTTTTTTTCCTCATTATGCACTGCGTGCTCCAGGATTTTTTTTATATGGTGCACACTGACCACACAGACCCATTCTCTCACATGTGGGCCTACCAGCTTTCTCCTGTTTGATTTGAAGCCGCTAGAATTTATGAGTATATATACATCAAACACGGTACCTCGAAAGACGTATATATACGGCCGCGACAGTCAAAGGGTTAAAACCAGTAAGAGTGTCTTATGTCTCGAGACGCCATATTAATAATGATAATACTACTCAGTAATCATCGAGTCTCATTAAATGTCGTATATTACGTTAATAGTATACACATTTTCATTAATCCATCTATGATATTTTTTTAAATTATATAATAAACACGATACGTAACATATAAACATGATAAATACACCCCACAGAGGAATAAATTAACCTTAATATGAGATTTGGTAGCCAGACAACTTGTAGGAGTGATGGCGAGAATGTTTTCTCTAGTCCAACATCAGAGAATATGTGTACACTATAATATTACTGGAGGTAACTGTAGAAAATTATTCCTTTCGTATACCTTCACTCAGAGCGTTATTTCTTCTAAAAATGGTGTTACATGAGAATGGGAGTGCTGCTCTTTATTTATTCTACTGTATCAATGTGGAAACTACTTATACACAATGTAATTTGTACACAAACCAGACACGTTCGCCTGGTTTGTTTACACAACTCTGCATCTGTCCTCTCTCATGTACTCATTCTCTCTCTCTCTCGTTTATATGTTTTATCTTGTTTACTCACCTCTGACCCTACATTAAGACTACAAATATTTTACGGTAAGTAATGAGTTAACTGTATATGCATTTTATTGCTCTGGGACACTTTAAATGTCATAGAATATTATGTGTGGGTGGCGTGACCTGGTATGGCAGGTATGGTAGCCTGGCTGGCTGCCATACATAACACACTTGATTTCTTACAATCAATACTACTCATCTCACCTTACATTAAGACTACAAATATTTTAAGGTAAGTATGTAATGAGTGTACTATATGAGTATTTTACTTTTTTATTGTTTTTTAATGCCTAGTTCTATTGCTAACTTAATATATGTTAGTGTAAACTTGTTATCTAGCATTTATATGCATTTATAACTGGAAAAAAAGGGCACTCCACTTTATAGCGATTTCTGCTTTACAGAGGTAGCCTGGAACCTAACCTGCCTTATAAGTGGGGCCCTACTGTACAGTACAAAGGATGATTTTTCTCAGAAATTATCATAATGTAGTTCCTGAGGCCTGATTCCAAGTGCGAATGTGTGTAAACTGATGCATTTATAAGTTGCAGACCTCCTGTATGTATTTTTTAATTCCTCTTCCATTCATCATAAACAATGTTTACATGATTACCTGGGAGTGACAGGTGTTGATCGAGGAGTGGTAGTGCCTATGCTCCCTTGCTCTATTAAACTTGAAGTGGATCCTCGACTGTGCATAGATGAGCGCTTTGGATCTCCCGTATATTTACTTCCCAATGCACCTGGAGTCAGGGACATGGAGCGATGATTACCACTATAATGACCTGAAACCAGCAAGGTTGATTTGTGATCACTGAAGGTTTGCTTTTAACAAGTTTAATAATCTTATTTTGAATGACAGGCATATTCAAATTTAAGATATCTTGGTAATGTACTTATTTTACATTTGCCAAAATTTTATTCACTTTAAAATCTAGTAAATAATGGTTATTATTTATTACTGAAAGAATTTTTATCAAGTGTGCATGCACACAACAAAACTTCCCTTATTAATAATCCCATGAGAAATGACAATTTTACAAAAAGTTACTGGATAATCTTACAACACAAAAACTTGTAGCAATACTTCATGTCACCACACAAAAATAATACATTCTCCAATGATGCACATCAGAGTGTTTGCTGTGAACTAATCACCATGCCCACTCTCCAACCAATCACTGTGCTCAGATTGCCTGAACTCAGCCAATTCAGATATTGCATTCATTATTTTGTCCAGCTAAAGCTCCAAACTTTATCCAACTTTAGGAATACCTATGCTAGGTCACTAGTATATATAAGCTGACATATTGCCTGCCTGGGACAGACTCGACTGCATTTTACTCTCCAACTCAGGATCACAAAGGATCACATCTTCAGAGACTGCTTCCACCTCATACATCCAGTGGAGCCACTACCATCAACAACTTCTAGCAGCACCTCTCACCAATGCAGAATTATAGAGTAGGGATTGAGCCCTCTACTTCCTTAATCTAGCCTGTACATCATCCTTACTGCTACTTATGTATTAGAACGGTTTCCAGCAAAGAAAAAATGTAAATGACACCATACAATAATAAAAATGCCTAACACAATCAACATATATCTTGGAAATAATAAATATCCACTAGGAAAATTCACATACCTTCATAAAAGTATTGGACATTGTTGATCATGACCTTATTAAACTAGAGCACTATGAATTCAAAGGCTACAGATTCCTCATTATCAAATCTTACCTTAGTAATTGCTACCAACAAGTAACCACAAGCAACATTTTCCTTGATCAATTGGCAGTGAGGCAACCAAACAAGTTAATAACAGTAGCAGTGGTGGTAGAAGCACAACTGGTGGTAATGAGAAGCAGAGCTATTGGTACACACAGCTTTGTGAATTACAAGTCCTCTGCTATCTTTCTCATATACTTCCATATATGTGTACAATTCTATGAATAAACTGGAAGTACAGTGTACAAATGTAATGCCAGCAGGTACTGTTATAAAGACAGTATGAAAAGCAGCTTTTATACTATAAACATTGATGTACCTCAAGGCAGTGCCTTGGACCCTCAACAAATCTTTTACACTGATGACCTGTCAAATACCCCAAAGCAACTCAAACTACACTGGTCACGTCAAACACAGACCCAATTATCTTTTTTTTTTCTTTATCATCATTATACTTTTTATATATAGCAAATGATGTACTTAAGTGACAAGCACTCAAAACAGAAAAGATTTGCTACATATTTGGAAACAAAACAAATATCTAAATACAGTATCAGAATATATGATACTGTACTGGGACTGAAAGAAAGAACAAAGGTAAATTCCTGGGCCTAGACCTAAATAAACTGAAATCCCACACAATCAGATTTAAAAAAAAATCTGTACTTAAGTCTACTATTTAAAGATTTAATACTATTTAACCCAAGCTACCCTATTCCCACTGTACCTTTCACACTAATCTGTCCCCATCTCATTCACAGTGTGAGCATGGAGATCAACAATGGTAAACTATCTAGAACCATTCCTAACAACAAAATGTTGACATAACTATCAACTGTCACACTAAATCCAGACACCAATCTCTCCCCTACCCTCCCTAATCAAACATCTAAACCTGCTGAACATACAGCAGAACTACTGAATACTATGTCTACAAGACTTTAAAATTCTTATTGGAGAGCTGGAATAAAATGCATAGTTAGGTATAAAACTGACTATAAGTACAGTGTTCATGCCATGCAAATAAGAGGTACATGGAGTAGCATCAGCTTTGAGGCTAGATAAGGGGTCATGATCCAAGATATTAAAGATACTCTTCCCTTCTTTAGATCCAAACTGATTGCTTTCCATTGTCCAGGTGCCTAGCATTTCCCCAAGGCTATAATAGCAACAACTATAGTACTGTGAAGAAAGAAGAAGAAGAAGAAGAAGAAGAAGAAGAAGAAGAAGAAGAAGAAGAAGAAGAAGAAGAAGAAGAAGAAGAAGAAGAAAGAAGAAGAAGAAGAAGAAGAAGAAGAAGAGGGAGGGAGGAAGAGGGAGGGAGGAAGAGGAGGGAGGAGAGGGAGGGAGGAGAGGAAGGGAGGAAGAGGGGGAGGAGAGGAGGAAGAGGGAGAGGAGAGAGGAGGAGGGAGGAAGGAAGAGGAGGAGGAGAGGAGGGAGGAAGAAGAAGGAGGAGGAGGAGGAGGGAGGAAGAAGAGAGGAGGAGGAGGAGGGAGGAAAAGAGGAGGAGGAAGAGGAGGAGAGAAGAGGAGAGGAGGAGGAGGAGAGGAGGAGGAGAGGAGGAGGAGGAGGAAGGAGAGGAGGAGGAGGAGGGAGGAGGAGGAGGGAGGAGGAGGAGGAGGAAGGAGGAGGAGGAGGAGGAGGAGGAGGAGGAGGAGGAGGAGAGAGGAGGAGGAGGAGGAGGAGAGTGAGGAGGAGGGAGGGGGGAGGAGGGAGGGAGGGAGGGAGGGAGGGGAGGAGGGAGGGAGGGAGGAGGAGGAGGGAGGAGGGAGGAGGAGGGAGGAGGAGGAGGGGAGGGAGGGAGGAGGAGGGAGGGAGGGAGGGAGGGAGGGAGGGAGGGAGGGAGGAGGGAGGAGGGGGAGGAGGGGAGGGAGGGAGGGAGGGAGGGAGGGAGGGAGGGAGGGGGAGGGGGGAGGGGGGAGGGGAGGGGGAGGGGGAGGGGAGGGGAGGGAGGGGAGGGGAGGGGAGGGGAGGGGGAGGAGGAGGAGGAGGAGGAGGAGGAGGAGGAGGAGGAGGAGGAGGAGGAGGGAGGCAGCTGCTTCATCAAAAAAAATTGCTTGAATACAATGACAAAGACATCTTGCACAACAAGTGTTTATTAACAACATGTTTCACCAAATGTAAGGCACTACACACAAGAATGTTTTTCACGGTCTTTTTTTCCTCACTACTGTTGACAGTGCACCATTCAGAACCAACTGCCATGACATATTAATGGAGTCACAAAGAATGACAAAGAGGTTTTATGGATAATATGACATAGCCATGTATGCTACTGGTTGCATTCTTGTCTTAGTTATGCCATGCAACAACAGGTAAGCATACTGTTACTTCTTTTTAATAATTTGTAAACCCCTTTTTAATACAGTATTATAAATTAAAGATTTACACTCAATGGCCACTTTATTAGGTACACCCATTCAGTACTGAGTAGGGCTTCCCTTTGCTCTCAGCTTGAATTCTTCATGGGATGGATTCAACAAGGTCCTGCAGATCTGTTGGCTGCACATTCATTCTGAGAATTTTCCATTCCACCACATCCCAAACATTTATGCCACATTCTAACCCTACCATATACATGTCACAGTAGAAATGGCAATTCATCAGACCAATCTTCAAATGTCCAGATTTGGCGAGCCTTTGCCCACTCTAGCCTCAGAATATCCACTTCAAGGCTCAATGAATTGTGCACTCAGAGATGCTCTTCTGCATACTACTGTTGTAATGTGTGTATATTTGAGTTACTGTCACCTTCCTGTCAGCTTGAACCTGTCTGGCTATCCTCCTCTGAACTCTCTCACTGACAGGGTATTTTTGCCTACAGAACTGCCACTCACTGGATGTTTTCTGCTTATCTCACCTTTCTCTGCAAATTCTCAACTCTGTTGTGGGTAAAAATCCCAGGTCAGCAGTTTCTGAGATACTCAAAACACTCCATCTGGCACAAACAATCATTCCATTTTCAAACTCAAATCACATTTCTTCCCCATTCTGATGTTTGGTCTGAACAACAACTAAACCTCATCACCATGTCTGGATGACTGACTGATTAGATATTTGCATTAACGAACAGGAATACAGGTGTACCTAATATTTATAATTATTTATAACAGCAATCACTGCAAAGTCTGTAATACTGTATTAACCATATATTAGTTTTAATTTTAATTCTGAATTCTGTATCACTAGGCATGTCTGCTCCTCCCTTCCCCACAAGCCAATCCAAGAGATGGGGTCAGGAGCAATGTTTCAACTTATGTTAATGCAACTCAGAGAGTACAACTCTGACTTTTTCAATGCCCTCCCTTCATGCACATGGCAAAGAAATTAACAAACCCTTGGCTCTCAAGAGGAAACAATAAGTTCCCCAAATCAGTTCCTGAACAGCCAGGATGTGGTTCCTACAATGAACCATGTGGGGCCAGTAACAGCCCAGTTGATCAGATCTTAATTCATCTGGAGACCTAGTCTGGGATTGGGCCACAGAGATCTTAACCCCTAAAAAACATTCTTCAGGTACTCTTATTATTACTACTATCAGTATTGATATTCCTTATTTTTTAAATGCTCAATATACATAAACATCAACTTCCTAACAGGTAAGGTTCCAACTCTATAAGACCTTAATTATTGACCTCAAAATAAAAATTAAGCAGCAGTACAGTATTTGTGCTACTAAAGCTCACATAAATCACTTTTTTGCTAACAAAGGTGACAAATGACCAACAGCTCTTCTGCTACTTGACATTAATTTATACATAAGCAACAGATCTCAAGCTACCACAGTTTACAAATGATTAATAGCTCTTGTACTACATTAGTTTATACATAAGCGACATGCTACTGAAATTTGCAAATGACCCACAGCTTGTCCTACTGAAGTTTACATATAACCAATAACTTTCTGTGATACAGTAATTAAGTTTTAAGCTTAATTTTATGGCACCATTGTTATAAAACAGCATTTTAATAAGCCTACTCTCTATAAAAGAAATATGCATGTTTTAATCTCAAATACCAGTAACTCAGCAGTTTTTCAATCTGCAGGAAATATACCA